TGTGAAGGTTTAAATCAATTATTTTCAGTTGCATTAAATAAAATTGCACATACCTTCTACATAAAACTATTCCTCGGGAGATTCTCTTTCGGCTGGTACAAACTTTAATTTAGATATCGCTATTTTTAACACTATAATTTTACACATTAGTAGAGCTGCTGTTACTTGCGTGTTGCTACCATCAACGATCATTTATCCTTGCCACATCCAACGGGTTCAAGCTCTTTTACGTAGAGATTTTCCTCAACGAGTTAGATTTTGTGAATGGTTAACACATGAAATGCGACAAAGTTATCAACTTTTAAATAATGTATTGTTTACGGACGAGGCACATTTTTTAAGAGTATCTATCATAAATTTTCACAATAATCACGTATGGGCAGACGAGAATCCCCATGAGATTATAGAGCACCATTTTCAAAATGTTCTTTCAGTGAACGTATGAATTGGTATTTTCTTACACCAGTTTTCTCTTGAACTACTTGAAGACATCGCACTTAATATCAGTCGGACTGCTAGGCAAGATTTAGATGCAACATATCCCAACCGTTGGATTGGTCGAGGAGGATCCCAACATTGGTCTCTTCGATCTCCAGAGTTAAATCCTTGTGATTTCTGTTTATAAGGTTACCTTAAATCATTAGTCTACACGACACTCATAGTTGATATCAACGATTTGAAGAATCGTATTCAAATAGCATGTGACACCATAAGAAATACACCTCAAAACTTTGAACGTGTACGGCAATTCATGACATGTAGGCTACGTTTATGTATTTTGGCTAGAGGTGGTCATTTCCAGCATTTATTATGAATCGTATTACATTTTACATATTTACTGTTTTCCACTCAATTTATTAAAAAAAAATTATATATTATGGTGTTTATTTTAGTTTTGGGAAAAAAATTAAGAATATTTTTTTTAAATAAAACAAGGATTTCAAGTTATAATTTTATTTCATAAAACTTCATCTCGAAAAAAGTTTTGATATGAAATAAAGTAAGGGTTGCTACTTTCACCCCCCTATAATGTAACAGGAACATTGAAAAAAATACCCGTAGTTAGTGCACGAAAATTACAAAATTTCAAGTTTCTAGCTTTACTGAAATTTTAGAAAAAAAAATAAAAACTCAACTTTAGTCACCCTTTATAAGGGTGATATCTCGGAAAGGGGTGAGCAGAGGAAATTTTGTTATAGGAAAGACCCATCTTAATTTCATACGAGCAATTACCACCTGAATTTTGCCGCATACATTTTGAAACACCCTGTATATTATTATTCATTCCGTAGAATGCAATGGCCTACTTTTTCGATCTTTCGTCTTTACGTAGAATAGATAATAGTAGAGGTAGAAAAAAACACTTACGGCGCAGGCCGAAAAAGTCGAGTGATTCCAATTTCAAAACCTCTTTTTTTATTTTTAGTTACTTGTTAATACTACAAACTACAAATTTTTTATATTGTAAAATAGTAATCCGTAATCCACACGTAATTTAAATTTGAATACAAGCATTTTTAATTTAAACAAAATAAACTATAATTAAATGGATTTTACATAAGCACATTGACATGACAGTAATTGACAGTTATAAGAAAAATTAGAAATATTATTTCAAATTTAATTTTCTAAAGAGTTTTAAATATCTATCTATAAACACATTCGAATAAAAAATAATGTATGAAATACGAACGACTTTTGCCAGAATTAATTGAAATCCCTCAATTTCAAATAATTTATATAACAAACACAGACATTTTCTATCAAATAAAAATTTAACATAAATCTTTAATTATTTAAAATTAATTGAAATCCTCCATTTTCAAATAATTTATATAATAAACACAGAAAATTTATGTTAAATAAAAATAACCTTAGTCCATAATTTTTATCGTAGATTACCTGATTTATACATATCTGTACCTACCTCTTGAAATCTATTACAACAAAATGTTAACAACAAGTGAATATCATCGGCTCATGAAAAAACATTACACTTTTTTTAAGGATTTTAAGATGTCAGACGTGTGAATTATGAAGAAGGGAGGATCTAAATGAATTGAGTCATCATTTTTGATCGTTTAAATGCCGTATCTATTTGGGTTAAGTTGAAGTATCCTGCAAAGTGTCAAGCGAAACGATCCCAAACATCTAATATTTACAGCGGCACCATAAATCCGTCCTGTATCCGCCAGTTATCAGATTACGAACGTATATCGAGTTTTAGTAGCACTTTGTTATATCCTACTAGCTGCACATAAAATGGATCATTTGCGAAATGTTTTGGATTAACGAAAAGGGTCTAAAACCCTACCTTTACGACTTGTTGACCATTAATTCGGTTCTTCGCGTCACCTCTTAACCTCTCGGTTTTATTGGCTAATTTTCATAAAAGATTAAACGTCGCACTTCTACGAACGCTAAAGATGAATTGAATTGGTCAAAGTAATGGAGTTTTTAAATATAATATGGTTATTGGTCTGATGTCTCTAAAAAATAAATTTCATTTTTCATTCTGTCAGTGTAATTTTATTCGATTTGATATTTTTCGATTTTACTTTTTGTTACTTGTTACTTTCTTTATTGTATTCTGCTCTATCTCAATTAAAATATAAAACAATTAAACTTAAAAACAATTTAGAAAGAAAATAAAAACAAATTATAAAAAAACAAAATAAAACAAAAACAAACATACAAAAACAAATATACAAAATTAAACATACAAAAATTAACATACAAAAATAAACATACAAAAATAACCATACAAAAATAAACATACAAAAACAAACATGCAAAAACAAATATACAAAAATAAACACAAAAATAAACATATAAAAACAAAAATCAAAAACAAGGAAAACAAAGAAAAACAAAGAAAAACAAAGAAAAACAAAACAAAGAAAAACAAAGAAAAACAAAGAAAAACAAAGAAAAACAAAGAAAAACAAAGAAAAACAAAGAAAAACAAAGAAAAACAAAGAAAAACAAAGAAAAACAAAGAAAAACAAAGAAAAACAAAGAAAAACAAAGAAAAACAAAGAAAAACAAAGAAAAACAAAGAAAAACAAAGAAAAACAAAGAAAAACAAAGAAAAACAAAGAAAAACAAAGAAAAACAAAGAAAAACAAAGAAAAACAAAGAAAAACAAAGAAAAACAAAGAAAAACAAAGAAAAACAAAGAAAAACAAAGAAAAACAAAGAAAAACAAAGAAAAACAAAGAAAAACAAAGAAAAACAAAGAAAAACAAAGAAAAACAAAGAAAAACAAAGAAAAACAAAGAAAAACAAAGAAAAACAAAGAAAAACAAAGAAAAACAAAGAAAAACAAAGAAAAACAAAGAAAAACAAAGAAAAACAAAGAAAAACAAAGAAAAACAAAGAAAAACAAAGAAAAACAAAGAAAAACAAAGAAAAACAAAGAAAAACAAAGAAAAACAAAGAAAAACAAAGAAAAACAAACGAAAAACAAAGAAAAACAAACGAAAAACAAACGAAAAACAAACGAAAAACAAACGAAAAACAAACGAAAAACAAACGAAAAACAAACGAAAAACAAACGAAAAACAAACGAAAAACAAACGAAAAACAAACGAAAAACAAACGAAAAACAAACGAAAAACAAACGAAAAACAAACGAAAAACAAACGAAAAACAAACGAAAAACAAACGAAAAACAAACGAAAAACAAACGAAAAACAAACGAAAAACAAACGAAAAACAAAAAAACAAACGAAAAACAAACGAAAAACAAACGAAAAACAAACGAAAAACAAACGAAAAACAAACGAAAAACAAACGAAAAACAAACGAAAAACAAACGAAAAACAAACGAAAAACAAACGAAAAACAAACGAAAAACAAACGAAAAACAAACGAAAAACAAACGAAAAACAAACGAAAAACAAACGAAAAACAAACGAAAAACAAACGAAAAACAAACGAAAAACAAACGAAAAACAAACGAAAAACAAACGAAAAACAAACGAAAAACAAAGAAAAACAAAGAAAAACAAAGAAAAACAAAGAAAAACAAAGAAAAACAAAGAAAAACAAAGAAAAACAAAGAAAAACAAAGAAAAACAAAGAAAAACAAAGAAAAACAAAGAAAAACAAAAAAAAACAAAAAAAAAAAAAAAAAAACAAACGAAAAACAAACGAAAAACAAACGAAAAACAAACGAAAAACAAACGAAAAACAAACGAAAAACAAACGAAAAACAAACGAAAAACAAACGAAAAACAAACGAAAAACAAACGAAAAACAAACGAAAAACAAACGAAAAACAAACGAAAAACAAACGAAAAACAAACGAAAAACAAACGAAAAACAAACGAAAAACAAACGAAAAACAAACGAAAAACAAACGAAAAACAAACGAAAAACAAACGAAAAACAAACGAAAAACAAACGAAAAACAAACGAAAAACAAACGAAAAACAAACGAAAAACAAACGAAAAACAAACGAAAAACAAACGAAAAACAAACGAAAAACAAACGAAAAACAAACGAAAAACAAACGAAAAACAAACGAAAAACAAACGAAAAACAAACGAAAAACAAACGAAAAACAAACGAAAAACAAACGAAAAAGAAACGAAAAACAAACGAAAAACAAACGAAAAACAAACGAAAAAGAAACGAAAAACAAACGAAAAACAAACGAAAAACAAACGAAAAACAAACGAAAAACAAACGAAAAACAAACGAAAAACAAACGAAAAACAAACGAAAAACAAACGAAAAACAAACGAAAAACAAACGAAAAACAAACGAAAAACAAACGAAAAACAAACGAAAAACAAACGAAAAACAAACGAAAAACAAACGAAAAACAAACGAAAAACAAACGAACAATAATTTTTAAAATGAATTTACAAAATCCCTAGTTAAACAATTAGCTAATATTGATAAACCAAATTGTTTTTATTTCGGGCCAAACGTATTCATAGAATAAAAATCGTACTAATTATATTAATAAACTGTTCTCTTTTATTTTCAGTTTTAAGACCAGCAAAGGTGTAGGATATACTGCTCATTTCGTCGGAAATTGTCTAGTACTTACTTCAATGAAAATTAAAGGCAAGGGCTTCCAACACTGCGTTAAATACGAGTTTCAACCCAGGAAGGTATAATAATTAGATTATAAAATTAAAGTTTGAGAGTCGTTTGGTAAGTTTGGTAATAGAGCGTCTGATATACACCAAGAAAAATTTGCATTTTGAGACAAGGGATTATAATAAAATATATAATAAAAAATCTACGTATTGAAATGATTTAGTCAATAACAAATGTAGGTATTTAAATCTTTGATAAAAGGTTACTTTTCTGCCAACGTAGTTGTTAATAGAAATTAAATAGAAATATTTAAAAAAGATCGTGATAATGAGACGGAATCAAATCTTTAAATGCAAAAGGTAATAAAAACATTAACAACTAGTACATTTTAAATTATAAAATAAGCCATAAACAAATTTTACTCATTTAAAAATAAAGTCAAACTGTGGATATTAAGAACTGAAAAATCTATATTTAGAAATGTAGTTAATATTGATTATTTTTTTCATCCAATAAGAACTCGCGATCCTAGCCAATCATTGAGTTTTATGATGATTAAACCATTTCCTCGTTTTTGTTTTTTGATAAAATTATGTTTACCTTTTGAGTTGACAACTCTATATCATTTTTAAATTTTATTGAAGTAAAATGTACCTCAAATCAATGTTAATACAAACCTAAATACCTAAATTTAAAAATTATTGTTAATTCTATTGCATAAAATTAAAATCGGTAATATTTATAAGTAAAACTAATCTGTTTTTTTGTATGTTAAATCACTTATAACACACATAAAAGTAATCCACATCAACACTTAATTTTTAACGATTAAATATAATTTTTTGAATACCTGAACAATTTCAAGTTAACTAAAATTAAATAGATCAAGTTTGAGACACATAAATCACAATGAGAATTTTAAAATTTGGCAAATGTCAATCAACTGTTGATGTAATACGTCGTTACCATTTCGCATTTTTTAGACTATTAAAGGAAATTATATTAATATAAAATAAACAAGTTTTTCTACGTTCATGCAAAAAACAAAACTTTATTGAAATTTATTTAGTACTGATTCTTTATTGCACTATTGCACTAGTGCAATAAAAATTTTATTGCACTCACCTGTCATTTTACTACAGCGTTTTATGATCATGATAAACATAAATATTCAAATCAACGCCAAATATTTAGTCCATTTTCATTTTCTGTGTTACGTTTTAAAAGCAATTGCATATTTTATATTATTTTCAATCATTTAATAAATAAATTAATAGAAAAATGTATTTTATTAAAAATGTCATTACAAATTATGAACACAAACGTAAATAAATGCCTCAAACAAAGGTACACGATCACGGTTACTATGATTTGGATAATACAACTGCAGTTCTATAAAACATTTTTTTGGTTTTTGCATGAACGTAGAAAAAATATTGTATGCAACTCGTGCAAAAAGTGTTTATTGCACTCGACGTGTTGCATAAATAACTATTATAGAATGTTTAATAAACACTTTTAGATTATTACCTACCTTTTATGCAGAATGATTCAAAAAATAATCGTTTCAAATCCTTTTAAATTTGATCTATTAAATTTTAAGTTTCCATACTGAATAAATTTTATTTCGGGCAGAACCACTCAAGAAAACCGATTTGATTTCGTGACATTACCTTTGATTAAATATAAACAAAATTATTTCTTTTAAATACCAAAATTATTACACAAATTAAAAAAATATTTTTTTTATTTATATCTTGTACTATTATATTACACAAGCTGTATTCCCCGTCAGCTTATAATTATGTTTATTTTAATTTTGTCGTTGAAATTGTACAATAATTGTATGATTATATTTCCTATTGAAGCAAAAAAAAAATATTATTCAATTTTATTTTTCGTTTCCCAATGTTTTTTTTTTTAATAATTAAAATTATCTGCTTATATAAGTATAGTTATTACTTTGATGGCTTCAAGTAGACTTTTTAAAATATAGTTGAAGATTTTGAAAAAAATAATACGAGTAGTAGTCCATTTTGATGTCAAAATCTACCAAACTTTTTAAACGACTCACATAACCCCTAGTCGAATATTATAAAAATTATCTTTCAGCTATACCTATATAATGTGCATGAAGTTGAATTATGTATGGATGGACTAGAAAAGAGCAAACACTTTTTTATTTTTAAATCCATACAGGGGCGGATTTACAAATGTGCCGCCTATGGGCTGTACCTAATCGCCGCCTATGCTTACTAAACTAAAAATAGATGCTAAAATAAGGAATACGAAAATTATGCAAAAATTTATTAGAATCAGATATGTAACAGAATATACAAAGTCATATACTATAACTACTATACAACTAAATCAAAATCGCCTTTCCTTTCGCTCGCATAACACTTTTCGTCTATTCTTAACGAAAATTTAATCACATCGTCAAATGAAATCTAATTCGCAGTGTCAGATTCAATTATTGATAAAACTGCTAAATCGTTCAATCTGCTTTCAGACATAGAGCGTAATTAAGTTTTAATTCGTTTCAAGTATGAGAACGAACGTTTCGAAGAACAATTGCTCACTCCCTTTTATTTGTAAATTTTTAAAAATCAAGAACATTCCGATATCTGATCTAGTTCTGTATCTGTAAGGGTGGGTTACCCCACGACACTTATGCCTCATTAGGCCCATTGTGCATCCTCCTGAGAAGATAGGCACCTCCTAGCTCGTGAGTCAGCCTACAGATTTTATGTAGTTGACAAAGTCGTCAAAGTTGCCGTAGCCACCCTTTTGTGCTACAAGTTACATTGTATAAACTTTACCTCTTTTATTGCTTCCCGGTCGTCCGTTGCAAATTTAATTAATTATTATTATTAATTAATTATTCGACCATCCCTTCCTCCGAAAGAGGGGAGGGGGTGGTCTCTTGTGGCTCTGTGGAGTTTTCTTGCGATTACCATTTTTTCTGGCTCGACGTCCTCCACCGTTGGCGTAAATTGGGGGGGGAAGAAGGTCCTTTACCAAGGACTCTTCTCTGGGTCCCGCTTCAGCCTCTTTTTCGACCTTGGGCCTTATAATCAATGAGGTGAACGCATAGCTCATCCTCATTGATTTGGCCTTTAGGGTTCCCATGTCTTCGTCTCCGATGCCGAAGACGAAGAGATGACCCTTAGGGTCTTTTTTGATTTCATGGTGGAAGGAGCACCATTTCGCCAGATGCAAGTCTGGGTTTTGCTCCTAAAGTCGCCTGAGCATAACCTCTTTCTCTTCAAGGTCAGCTTGCGTATCCCTTGGGATACAGAGGGAGGCTTTGGTGAGCTTGGGGAGCTCGTCCATCCTTACAACGGCGAGTGTTGCTCCTTCTAATGTTTTTAAGGTCGGTTTCTGGTTTTTAGCCATTTCAACGTCAGGTCATCGTCTCAGGTTACTCTGATGATTTTACCAGAGTGCGACCAAGACCAGAATGTTGGTTTTGCAGTAGGAGGCGGACAAGATTGTTTTGTCCAGCTCTCCCATCAGTGTCTTTTTGACAAGGATTTCTCTTTCGGTGGTTATCTTACCGCAAGGGTTATCTTTGTCTATTATAGCTACTTTCAGGTGGCTCGTAGCTGCATCCTTGTATCTTATCCCAGACAAAACTTTGTGGTCCTGTCTGGGTTTTTTCTCCTTTCGGGGCGTTACCTCGGAAGAGGTGTGAGATCGCGGTCTTTTCTTGTCTCTAGTTGCGTCGTGTTCCTGGCCTCTTGTGGAGGCAGAACTAGCGTCGCTGTCTACGGACCTGATTAGGCCGCTTTTTTGTTTGGAGTGAAGGGGAGTTTACTGAGGGTGGCGGTTGCCGTAGCACTGTCTGCAGCTTATCCCTCTTCCTCCTCCTTTCTTCAGACCCAAAGATTCTTTTGCCTCTCCGGAGCCTGTTAGTTAGAGGTGAACTACTGTGTCCATCCTCCTTTTTTGAAGGTGGGCTTCGCTGTCCAGCCTGCTGCGCGGGAGCTGAACTTTGTTGTCCAGGCTCCTTTGCAGGAAGTGAGCGTTGATGTCCATCCTCCTTTTTTTGAGGTGATCGTTGCTGCGCCGGAGTTGGACTTTGGTGTCCAGTCTCCTTTGCTGGAGGTGAGCGTTAACGTTCAGTCTCTTTGGGTTGTTTTTGTTGTTGTGCTTGTGAATCCATATGATTCCCACGAGTAGCTAGGGAAGAAAAGGTCGACCGACGCAGAGTCCCGCATGCGCTTGCAAGGTTAGATACAAGAGGGTGTCGCCAGGTTCCTTCAGGGGAGCGTTTGCTGCCGCATCTGCCCCTGCGACAATTCTTCCGTCGGCACGTTACCATACATCTTAGATCGGGGTAGTTGGTTCGCGGCGGTAGCTCTCAGACTCTACTTATGTCTACCACTAACCAAGGGAAACTTGGCCGTCCTCCTATCCACCACCCGAAGACGCGCTCAGTTGGCACTTAACCGCTGAGCAATAGATGTATTAAAATTCGTTTTCACAAATTTGAGACTGGCATATTAGGTATATACACCTAGGCCATAAATCGAAACAAAAAAAAAAAACAAAAAAAAATCGTTTTCAATTTTTCAAAATTTTAATTTTTTAATAATTTGATTTTATAACTTTAATTTTTAAACTCATTTTCGCAACTTCAATCTTTATTAACATAGGTTTAGTCAGTATTTTATGTTATTTGTTTCTGACGTCTGAATTAGTTATTATTACTCTTGTAAACAACTTCGAGGCCGTCTTCCAGATTGGGATTTTATAATTTTAAGAATTTTCTCTTTATTCAATTCAATATCTTGTCATTGTAATTTTAAGTTGGCTACAATTTTCTGACAACTCAGTTGTCATGTCATTTCGTACCAACTGTTTTTTCTTTACCTTCTGTCAAAATATTACTTAAACTTCACTATTTTTAGTTGGTACTGTTGATAACTTCATTGTCACTGTCACTTGTCACCGAATGACAACTGATATAACCAAAAATCTTGTTTTTTTCAATCGTCATTAGCCATGTTGTCTATAAAAAAAAAGCTAAAATGTATTATCCGTTACTCCAATGCAGGCCTCCTAC